CTCCGAGTATAACTGTACTACAGCACTCACTATGTCTTGAAAGCACACAATAAGTCTTCCGCTCGCTGACTTCTTAGTTATCGCACACTCGCAGGCTGCTATGTTTCAACTCGTAACTCGGCGGCTGTCACAGTACAACTGAAGTCGCCGACTGCTACAGTAGAACTGACTGGCACCCGCCGCGCAGCTCACTTATATAGCTGCAGTGCTTGCCGGTTGCGTAATGAGTGCCACGTCACAGTAGGAAGTTGATTACGGGTATGTAGCGTTACGCGTTACGTCACCGCGGAGGGGAGTGGTGGGGCGGGAACTCACCTATCNAAGAAGACATAGAAGTGACTTGTGAGGTGCTGGCTGAGAGGCTGGGAGAGATTGATAATGCACCTCAGCTCTCTGTGCTACCCATCTATTCACAGCTGCCTTCAGATCTGCAGGCAAAGATCTTCCAGAGGTCACCGGAAGGGCTGCGCAAATGCGTTGTTGCTACAAACATTGCAGAAACGTCTTTAACAGGTAAAGAGATTTGAAAAGTAGCTCTTGCAAGAAATAATGATATACCTTTCTTTAAATGTTTTTGTTTTTATAAACAGGCTAGCAGAAATTGTTAATTAATTAAACAGTGTTCTGTATTTCTCTTCATAATTTTCATTAGTGCAGATTCACAACATCTGCTAGGTATATGGTGTAACTTCAGTTTTGTGTTATGTAACATGTTCATGATTTTTAATACATAAAAAAATTTCCTTCTTTATAGTTCAATAATTGTGAGTTCATATGTTTATGATATCTCTTCGTATGAAATTTCATGTGCCTAGATGCAGTGGCTTATTAGTTACCACAATAGAACCAAAAGCTAAACATAATCATGTTATTCTACATGTTATTAGAATTAGCTTAGAACAGTTACTTATTCTTGAAAGGTCTGTCACCACACACAATTTCAGGAATGTACATGAATTGGTACTAGTCACTCTCATTTCAGAAGACTGCATGGCCACCATTATGTCTTTGGCAGGACTTTAAAAATGGCACATGATTTGTTGTCTCCAGTGGCAATGGATAATGTAATAATTTTTTCTGACATTATGAAATGGAGATACGGACCACACGGTAGCGTAGTTGTTTAAGGCACTGTGCTACAAGCCGAAATGTCGCGGTTTTGATTGCTGACGAGGTTATTAGATTTTTCAATTGACCTAATTCTTCCAGCCGCACAATGGCCCTGGGGTCGACTCAACCTTTAACAGAAATGAATACCAGGAATCTTCCTGGGGTTAAAGGGCAGCCAGTGTGTAAGGCTGATAACCTCACTGCCATCTGTGAGCCAGTTGTGTAGAAAATGTGGGAGCCTCGCTGTCTCAGAACCCTGTGGGCCTCCATGGCCTGTTACAGGGATACCTTTACCTCTTTACCTTTATTATGAAATGGAGACATGCACACAGGCAGGTGGACATGTTCAAACAGATGTGGTACCTTAAGCCTATCTTTCTATATAAAGTAAACTTGTTGTAGCAAATCAGAAGCTTTGGGGTCATCTTCCATTCACTTTCTTGCATCTCTCTAGTACTTTTGAATGTCATACATATTGATCTTGAGTATGGCTTGAGACTGTAGCAACTGATGTCTGGCAGCCATAGAATTTGGGTCCTGACACGAAGTTCAGTGTATAGATAATGTTTGCAGGTGTGCAGCCATGTAGTTATGTCCAATGTATCTTTAGATGTACTCTCCAACACAGTGGCAGACTTCCACTGGATTACACAGCGTTATATCCCAGAAGCTAGAACTGTTCAGTGAAAATAATCTGTCGTAATGACACTCAGTCACGTAGAGTAAGATCACCTTTGCAGAATGTTACGTATGTTAATTGCACTTAAGAAGGAAGGCAATGTCTGATGCACTTACAGTGTAATCTGGAGCAAACCACAAAAGTGAGGAAGAGTAATTTTTTACGTGCTTCATAATACAGGTTGCTTTTTGTGCCGCAGTGGATGGAATCATGTATGTAGTGGACTCGGGTTACTGCAAGCTGAAGGTATACAATCCACGTATTGGTATGGATGCCCTACAAATCTACCCCATCAGTCAGGCAAATGCAAACCAGCGTTCTGGTCGTGCTGGCAGAACAGGTCCAGGGCAGTGTTTCAGGTAGTGTATGATGATATATCTCTCCTTGTGCCCTGCTTATCATTATTGGTATCTGAATAACTCTTTTGTAATTGAACCCAAAGGTTCAGCTCCACCAATACAAGTGCCTGTCACTGAACATGATCTGGAGCCAGTTTAGTCCTTTTCAGCTGTGCATGTTGGCTTCTGACTTGTACTTCTAAGTTACTGTGTTCTGATCTCAGCTGGGACATATCATGACTGAGGTTTTCACTGATTTCCTCAGTTATTGGGATGCTGGGATAGTACCTGAGATTAGCCTGTGACCACATTATTCCACATCCCTGCTAATTCATTATGTGCTAATCCTACCATTCTATGCAATGTAACCTGAGTTACTGACAGCCTTGTTAAGTAATCTGCAAATAAATAAATAAATAAATAAATAAATAATGTTCACCTCACATTCTCACAGTCTCTCTCTCTGATCCACCTTAAAGTGATCTTCCATTATCCTTGGTTTTCCAGTGGTTACTTTCCAGTTTTCTACACATTTCTTGTATCATGTGTCCTGCATTTTAGGACCAATTTTATTGTATTATACAAGGATCATTATCATTCCTTAACTGTAGTTGAGGATATGTTACAGACCATGAGCCTTTTTGGGGGAAACTTACATTGTATGCCCAGTAGTGATTTACAGACTGTATGTGCTTCAGGTTATACACAGAGCGGCAGTACAAGGATGAGTTGCTGGTAACCACAGTGCCCGAGATACAGCGGACCAATCTGGCTAACACTGTTCTGCTCCTCAAATCACTTGGAGTTCAGGACTTACTGCAGTTTCACTTCATGGATCCACCCCCTCAGGTACAGGGACAGAAGTGCTTCAGTTGGCATTGCAGTGTTGACTCTTACCAAAAAGAAATTTCACTTTTTTATTGCCTGTGTGTAGAGTGAAATTGTGATTTAATGTGTTATGAGGTTCCTCCACTTTGTTGCATTTCAGATCATTCTGAATAATGTACTGCTGTGTAGTAACGTAAGGGGACGTTACAAGTGGTAATACAGAAATAATAACTAGACCAATTAATACAATTTATAAAGTACTGTTAGTCCTTTGTATCCAGTGGCCAAAGCACTTGACCTAACCACTGATTTATGTAGTTAGTCAGGCTGTGACTGAAAGAAATATATCTCTGTTGTGTAATGGTGGACAAGATGATACCAGTTCTGATGCTGTGTTGCCCGTTGAAGAAAAAGAGAGAGAGAGAGAGATTAGGCATTTTTTGTAAACAGTTTGTTTTTGTAGACAATGTTTTGCAAAAATATTTCCTCTAGGTAACATTGCTACTTAGTACATGTTGTTAATCTGTCATATTTAATGTCTAGCTGTAAATGTAAATAATTATTTATTTTATATATTATATACAGGGTGTTTAACGACTTTAGGGCATAACTACAGGAGGTGATTTCATAGGTCTTTGTGATCAAAAAAGTTCATATAAACATGTGTCCGATTTTGGATGGTTACGGAGTTATGACAGTTTTAAACTCAGAATAGAAGGTAACGGTTACTGACAATAAACGGAAGAAAATAATAAACCAGCATAATACATGATACATTTAAAGTATGAATGTAAAGTTAACTTCATGAAATTACCTTTAATTTAAATTTATTGGTGCATAAAGCTGATTTTCGAATGCCACTGCCGGCCGCGGTGAACTGTGCCAGACATACCAACCCACCCTGCCTCAAGTAGCTCTCAAGTGTCGAGATAACGAGAATGCTCTGTCTCTAGCTGGCTAAAAATAGTGACCCGCCAGCTGACAGACGCGGTTCACATGAGGACGTGTATGGGAATGGAAAAACTGTCATAACTCCGTAACTGTCCAAAATCGGACACATGTTTATATGAACTTTTTTGATCACAAAGACCTAGGAAATCACCTCCTGCAGTTATGCCCTAAAGTCGT